GTATGCACATGGTGACTGTAATCTCAGCACTTTTTGAATTTCAGAATCAGAGGGTTGGGAGACTCAGGAAAGCCTTTTTTAAGGTAGCAAGGGGAAAGTGAAAGGACACAGGCTGTATGAGACTGAAACATCTTAGTCCCAGCCAGCAAGGCACCTGCGTTCAGGATGGTGTGTGGGGAGTGCAGAGTTCTCACAAAGAAAGAAGTGGTGGGATGGCAGGGAGGACAGTTAAGTTCTTTACTGGAGAAGGAAAAAGTGGGCTGAAAATTTCCTGGTTGAACAAGAGGACTGTGACATGGTGTGCTTGTATTTTGGAGAGAAAGGTTTTGTGGGGACAGGCCTAGGGAGAACGCTCTCTGGCCGGGGAGTCAGCCCAACAGGAAACCACAGGAAATTGGGCAGACCCCAGGGCCCCTGCTGGGGGAGGGACTGCCAGCCAATTCGAGCCCTGGGAGCTGCTTCTGTCCCTTAGCTGGGGCCTCAGAGCTCCCTTCAAAACCCAGTCCTGTTGATACAAGAAAAAAAACGTGGGGCATGTGAAGGGCTGTGTCCCATGCTTTGGTTGAGCACCTGGGATGTGCCCCGCCAGATGTTTGTCCTTGGCTTCGTGCAGGAAAGAATTCAAGAGCAAGTCAGTGTTGAGTAAAGGTAGATTTATTGAGAGAGATACATTTAAAGTCAAGAGAAACGCCACGATGTGTGGGGTTTGGATGCTCAGATTAAAAGTAGGTATACAGTCCACAGACGGAATATGGGCCTTCTCTGAAGAGGGAGAGAGAGGGGTGATCTCGAGGCAGCTCTGTGTTGCTGGTTTTCATGGGCTTGGTAGTTTCATATGCTAATAAGTGGAAGGAACATCCTAAAGGCAAGGGGATGGAATTCCCATGGAGTTGGCCATTTCCCACCATTTGACCTTTTGTGGCTAGCCTTTGGACTGCCATGGTGCCTTGGGGCGTGTTATTCACCATGTTACTATTAATGGGTGTATAATGAAGCTCAAGATCTGATAGAAGTAAAATCTCTTCATCCTGATCCTCAAGGCCTATTGGGGTTTGAATCCTTCACCATTTGATGTTAATTGCTGTGGGCTTCCTTGAATTGCTGTGCTGTGCCCCCTTCCATCCTGTCTCACTGTGATGACACAGAGAGAGCAAAGGCTGGGCCCTGCCTGTGCTCCTGCATTTAATAGGGGGAAGGGTGTGGTGGGTTTAAGATGGCTCTGACTGGTGAGAAGGATGTTTCAGATTTTCCCACCTGGGACATGGGGACCTGCCAGCAGCACCCGCAGATTTATCTCACGGGCATTATCGCTTGTGTCATTCATCTTTTTCTATTTTTTTAAAATTATTTAATCTGAATTTAATATCAGGTATTTTTGGAAAGAAATTTCTCTTTTTCTTTTCTTTGGGGCTGTTTTGGGGGGAACGTAATTAGGTGTATTTATCTGTTAGTGGAGGCCCTGGGGCTTTAACACAGGACCTCGAGCACTCTAAGCATACTGTCACCACTGAGCTCTACCACCCACCCCATCATCTTTTTCTTTTTGCTTTAGCTGCCAAGAATCTTACAGGTGAATTTCTAGTCAGCCTTTAACACTTACCCTAACTTCATGGCATCCATTTTTATGACTTTACCTCCCCCTGGTTTCATTTAAGTATTGAATCTCCATTTTCTCTTCACTCTCACTTTTGTCTTTTTTGTTATTATGGTTGTTAAGCTGTGTTTAAAACATTGTTTATATTTCTCTTTTAGCAGGAGGCTGAAAGTAAATAAAAATGTAAATAAACTTATCACATTTAAATGCTTTTATATATTCTAAGCTGTTTAGTAGTTACTTAAAAACCAAATTGAATATTAAAGATAACATTTTTAAATTATTTTTTAATATTTTATAAAGGTATAGCTGATGTACAATATGATGTAAGTTTCAGGTGTACAATAGATGCTCCATTTATAGTTATTGTAAAACATAGGTTGTATTCCCTGTGTTGTAAGATCCATCCCTCTTGCGTGTTTACGTTACATGTAGCAGTTTGTATAAGAAAGTTGGGTAAAGCAGAGTCTGGGGCGTGGCTGTGTCTGACCCAGGTTCACGGTCACCCTGCCTGTCAGAGCCCAGGCCCTCATTCCTGTCTGCAGGAGATTTAGTGGAGGCAGCTCTTATCAGTGCTGGCAGCACCCTCTGAGTGGCGGTGACAGTAGTGACTGTGGACATGTAAACTTTTGTTCCAGGAGCTTTACATACATATCTTCATTTAATATTTAAAGCCCTCTTGTGAGGAATCGTTTTCCGTTTTTAATGAATAATACACTTTATTTTGATTTTGATAGATTTCAAACTTCCGGAAAATTTACAGGAGTAGTACAATGAACACTTAGATACACTTCACCTAAAAGGGCAGTATTTGTCCTTTTGTGTCTGCCTTATTTTAGCATACTGTTTCAAGGTTCATCCATGTAGTAGCCTGAAACATTAAATTATTCTTTTGGTTTAAGACTATCTTTTTTTTTTGTTTTTGGTCTATTTGAAAATAATTTCATTGAAGTCTAGTCAGTTTAAAATGTTGCATCAGTTTCTTGTTTATAGCACAACACCAGTTATATAGGAACATACATGTATTCGTTTTCATATTCTTTTTCAACATAAGTTACTATAAAAAATTAAATATATTTCCCTGTACTATACAGTATAAACTTGCTGTTTATTCTATACATAGTCAGTATCTGCAAATCTTGAACTCCCAAATTATCCCTTCCCACATCCTCTCCCCTCTGGTAACCATAGTTTGCTTTCTATGTCTCTGTGCCTGTTTCTGTTCTGTAGATAAGTTTGTCTTTTTTGTTTTATTTTGTTTTCTTTTTTTTAACATTCCACATATGAGCGATCTCATATGGTATTTTTCTTTCTCTTTCTGGCTTATTTCTCTAAGAAAGACATTCTCCAGGTCCATTCATATTGCTGCAAATGACATTATTTTATTATTTTTTATGGCAGAGTAGTACTCTATGGTATAAATATACTAGAACCTCTTTATCCAGTCATCTGTCAGTGGACATTTAGGTTGTTTCCATATCTTGGCTATTGTAAATAGTGCTGCTGTGAACATTGGGGTGCAGGAGTCTTTTTGAATTAGAGGTTCCTTCTTGATATATGCCCAGGAGTGGGATTGCTCGGTCATATGGGAAGTCAATTTTTTGTCTTTTGGTGAACCTCTATACTGTTTTCCACAATGACTCCACCAAACTGCATTCCCAGCACAGTGTAGGAGGGTTCCATTTTCTCCACAGCCTCTCCAGCATTTATTGTTTGTGAACTTCTGAATGATGGCTATTCTGACTGGTGAGAGGTGATACTTGATTGTAGTTTTGATTTGCATTTCTCTGATAATAATATTGAGAATTTTTTCATGTGCCTATTGGCCATTTGTATATCTTCATTGGAGAAATGTTCCTTTATGTCTTCTGCCCATTTTTGGATTGAATTGTTTGTTTTTCTTTCTTATCAAGTGTAAAAGCTGTTTATATATTCTGGGAATTAAGCCCAGGTCAGTTTCATTCATTGCAAATATTTTCTCCCATTCCATAGGTTGTCTTTTTGTTTTGCTTATTGTTTCCTTTGCTCTGCAAAAGCTTGTAAGTTTAATTAGATCCCACTTGTACATTTTTGCTTTGATTTCTATTGCTTGAGTAGACTGCTCTAGGAGAACTTTGCTGAGATGTATGTCAGATGTTTTGCCTACGTTTTCTTCTAAGAGGTTTATAGTGTCTTGTCTACATGTTTAAGTCTTTAAGCCATTTTGAATTTATTTTTGTGTATGCTGTGAGGGAGTAGTCTAACTTCATTGATTTACATGCAGCTGTCCAGTTTTCCCTACACCATTTGCTGAAGAGGCTGTCTTTACTCCATTGTATGTTCTCACCTCCTTTGTCAACGATTCAATGAACAAAAGTTTGTGGGACTATTCTTGATAATTTTTTATCCATTCATTAATGGATGGATATTGTTTGTAACTTTCAGCTACTATGAATGATACTGCTATGAATATTGATATGCAAATTTTTGTGAGAATATGTTTTCATTCTGTTGGCTGTACATTTGGCCCACCATATCTGTAGTTTCCACTTCATGGATCCAGATGGCTGATTGTAAATGGACTCGAACACCCTTGGATTATGGTATCCAGGATGGGGGTTCCCTGAATCCAACCCCCCGAGGATACTGAGGGATGATATTATGTGTAGGAGTAGAATTGCTGAGCCATATGATAGCTCTAACCTTTTGAGGAAAAACCAGAATTTTCCAAAAAAGCTGCACAATTGCCCCTTTCCAACGATTGCATATTGATGGTTCCCTTTTCTGTGCCTCCTGACCGACACTTCTTATTGTGCATGTTTTGATAATAACCATCCTAGTGGGTGTAAAATGAGATCTCATTTTGATTTTGATTTGGCTAGTAATGCTGAGCATCTTTTCATATGCTTATTGGCCAATTGTGTATCTATTTAAATCCTTGGCAAATTTAAAAATTGGGTCTATTTTCTTTGTATTCTTAGTTGTAAGCATTTGTTTTATATCCTGGATACTAGTCTCTTATTAGATATATGCTTTGCAAAATTTTTCTCCTATTCTGCACATTGTCGTTTCACTTTAGTTTTTTTAAACATTAAAACAATTTCTTTATAGGGGAAGTAATTAGATTTATTCTTTTTTTTTTTTTTTTTTGCCAAGCACTCACTCTATCACTTGAGATATCCGCTTCCCCATTCATTTCACTTTCTTGGTCATGTCCTTTGTAACAAATGGTTTTAATTTTGATGAAGTCCAGTTGATCTGTTTTTTTTTTTTTTCACTTGTGCTCTTGGTATTCTATCTTGGAAACCATAGCCTATCCTAGGACCACAAAGATTCATACTATGTCTTCTTAAAGAAAGTTTATAGGTTTAGTTTTTACGTTTCTGTCTGTGATCCATTTTGAATTAATTTTTGTTATATACAGTAGGGGGGTCCAGATTCCAGATTCATTCTCTTGCCTACAGATACCCAGGTGTCCCTGCACCCTTTGTTGAATACACTATTCTTTCAATGCAGTGTTGTTGGCACCCTTGTGGAAAACTGACTGTAAATGTAAGTTTCCCACCCTGGATTTTTTATTGTGTCCCATAGATTTATGTATCCAAACTTATGCCAGTACCATAATGACTTGAGTACTACAGATTTGTAGTAAACTTTAAAGTGAGTCCTCCAACTTTGCTCTTCTTTTTCAAGATTGTTTTTTCTGACCTGTGTTCCTTGCAATTCCATATGAATTTTGGGATCAATTTTACAATTTTTCCAAAGGAGGCAGCTGGAATTTTGATAGAGATTCCATTGAATTTGTAGATCACTTTGGGGAGTCTTAACATTTTTAACAATATTGTCTACCATTCCATGAACATGGGATGTCTTCCATATATGTAGATCTTTTAAATTTTTTTTTGGTGATACTTCAAAATATTCAATGTACAAATCTTGTAAATTTTTGTTAAATGTATCTCTCATTTTATTTTTAATGCTGTTGTAAATGGAAAGGCTGAGCTTCTTAAGGGTGGGACTATATATCAATTAGTTTATTTCTAGGAAACCTACACAGCAAATACACTAGGTTTATATTTGCTACATAAATCTATCCACAACTCTTCCCTCCCCTGTGTTATAAGAAACCAAGACCCAGGTTAAGCAACCTGAACACCTATGTGGAAGTGAGAAATGAGACCCTTGGGTGGGGATTTGTGCAGATGATACTGAGAGCTTATTCAGGATGGCTTCATCTTAATTCCTTTTAAACAACCCTTTCAGTGTATATAGTCAGATACATTAAGAACATGCCCTTTTGATGTGCAGATGAGCTAAGACTATCATTTTCAAATAATTCCTTGTGAGAATGTTGTACTTGAAAGCTAATTAGCATCAATCTTTGAAGATTTATGTTTCAGGAGCTTTGACTAAAGAACACCTGTCTTTATTCAATAACTACCACTAAATGCTCCAACAACATGTAAGAGTTTGAGCAAACTTCCCCGGCCCTTAGTGCTGGGTGGCTGCAGCTGTAACAGGAGTCAGCGCTTACCTCTCCCAGTACGCTTGTGCTGGTCTGCTCAAAGCAGTTCATCCAAAAGTTTGTCTGTTTTCTGTTGAACAAAGCCATAAAACATTGATTTAAGGTGGCTGGAAAGGAATCTATTCTTAGTAATATTAAGTAAGCACATATTCAGTGCTTACTGTATGTTGGGAATTGTCCCTCAGCCTCACATGAATATTATTTCTCCTAAATCCTCACATATATCATTGTTATCCTCACTTTACAGAAAAGTAGACTGACGATTAGGTCTTCTCTCTTTTGGGGGGAGCTGATTATCAATGACTGGAAGTTGTAAGTAAAGATATTTATTCATCCTGAGGAAACATTTTTCAGAGAGTTAGCATTGAAGAGGGTGACCACTGAAGAGGGTGATCATTCTTCGAGTGAGACGAGCCCCGGTTTGTACAGAGTCAGGATCCTTGTCCTGGTCACGGCACGTGTAGTGCTGCGTGGTGGGTGAGGCGGCACAGCTGTGCTGGGATTGAGGACGCCGGGCCATTTGGCTGTGCTTAGGCCCAGTGGGGCTTTCTCTTAAGGGCAGTGGGCCATCATTGACAGATTTTAAGTAGGGGAGTGGGGTGCTCTCATAGATCACTTTTGTCTTGTAGAATGCTTGGAAACATTTAGAAGGCTCGGCAGGAGGTGATGGGATGAGTCAGAGTAGGGTGGCTGA